TTGTAATTGTGCTGCTATGAACATAAGAGTGTATACATTCTTCTGATTGGTGTTGAGTTTCTTAGGATATATTCCTAGAAGTGGGATGGCTGGGTCAAATGGCAGTTCCATGTTTAGTTTTTTGAGGACCCTCCACACTGTTTTCCGATTTCAATTCAATGTGCTCCTCTAGCCTAGGACTTCCCCATGAACTGCAGACCATTTTACCCACCCATGTCCTGGACATCTATCTCCACTTAGATGTTGGTGGCCGCAGATTCAGCATGTCCCCTGCCCCAGTCACACTTCCCTAAACCTGATCCTCTTCAACTCTTCTCCCCGTCTTCCCAGTCTTAAATGGAACACACTGTTCCAAAATTTCTAAGGGGCCCTGCTTTTTAAGGGGGGTGCCTTGTCAAGTTAGAACAGGCCCATCAAAATGCCCATGTTCCTGTCTGGGGAACTCTCTGGCCAAGCCAGAGGGAATATGCGCACAACCCCATGCTTTGTAACCACAGACATTGTTAACAATGTATGGTAAGTCCTCACTTAATGTTGTAGCTAGGCTCTGCAACTTTAAGTGAAAGTACACTTCATAAAACCAGGGCTTCCACCAGCTAATTGATATAAACCAGAGTTCCTTCCTATGGCATCTCACCAACATTACAATAATATGTTTAACGAAACGGCATTATTCGAGGGCCTGTTGTACAAAAGTCATTCTTCTATTTCAGAACAGGCCACTCTTTTCCTTGTTCATCTCTTCCCTTCATGGTAGATACCCCTGGAATATTCTAAGAGTCTGGGCTATGGCCGTCTCTCTCTGTCCATCATCCTCATGATGACCTATGATTAAATAACATTCCAGGTCAGGCCATTCTTATTCTATTATATTCTATTTACTTACTTACCTACTTACTTATCTATTTTTTTGCCATAATCATACGGTGTATATTTCTATACTGAATAAAATCTAGCTCTGGAAAGCCTCTTGGTCAGAGTGGCAAAAATGACCTCTTTGACTGCCGAACCTTCCAGGTCAGTGGAAACTAAAGAGACAACTAAATGCACTGTGACCCTAGGCTGGGCAGAGAAATAACATTAATGGGACAACGGAAAAAGTTTGAATAAGGTCAAAAGGTTAGATTACAGTATTGTATCTATACAATCTATGTTAATTTCCTGATTTTTATCATTATACTGTGGTTATACAAGCAAATCTTGTTTTTGTAGAAAAACACCACTGAAGTCTTTAAAGAGGCATTATGTCTGCAACTTCCCCTCATATATTCCAGGGAAAAAAGTGTATGTGTGCACATGTGTGCACACACACTTGGAGGGAAAGGGGGTGAATGGTAAAGCAAGGTAGTAAACCATTATTTGGGCAATCTTGAAAGGCATAGGTCATAGAACAACTCTTGTACCATTTCCCCCACATTTTTTGCAATCAAATTATTTCAAAATCAGAAGTTTTTAAAAAATTATCTTGACAGGTGGGAGAGCTAACCAGGAGGAGATCTCCAAACTTGGAATACTTCTGGGCCCTCTGAGTTCAGTCTGTTCCAAACCCAAGTCCGATTGTTGGGTTTCTAAGGACACTGAGTTCTCCTCTTCCTTCCGGCCAGATTTCCCCTAAAGTCCTGTCACTTAGCAGAACAGACAGAATGTTTTCTTCTCCTGGCTGAGCTCCCTGGTTACCTGAAAGCTCAGGTCTAGGTCTTTTCCCAGATTCCGTCCTGCAGCAGCCTCTGTGGAAGCCTGCGTTCCTCTTTGATATGTCACTGTGATGCACTTTTTCTCTCTACTGAAGAGAGAGATGCCGGGTTTATCCACTGCAACATGTGTCAGTCAGGATAGAGTAGGTTATGCTGCAGTAATAAGCTGCCCCTGAAGTTCAGTTTACTCAACACAATAAAAGGCGATTTATCACTCATGCTACATATGCAGTCTGGTGTGCTAGGGGTTTTCTGCCCCTCCATTAGCCAGGCTTCTTGAGTGACTGAAGTTTGTTTCTAAAAGAGACGAATGTTGCTTACACTTACACTTCACAATCCTACATTGTGTGAGAAGAGGTAGATGTATTTGTAACATCCCTGATGATTCTCACAGTGCTGCCTCTTAGCAGTTAACAGAGTGAGAGACATTGGCCAAGAGCATTTCCTCCTCTGAGACTTTCCTGCCCTCTGACTCCCTGTCCCCCAGCTCCCAACTGTGACCGGCAGAGGCTTCCTTCCTGCCCTAGCACCCTTCTGCTATTGTTACCTTGTGATTTTGTCTGTTGGATATGTTTTTATGAACGCCACAAATGCTTATTGGACGCCTACATCAATAGAGGGCACCTGTCCTTTGTCAGACACTGTCCTAGGTTCAGGGAGATAAGGATCAATCCCACTTTGACTCTGCCCTCCTGGCATCTCCTGACTGGTCATGAAGAGAGAGAAGAAAAGAGACACTTTAAATTTAGAGGGCAGAGCTAAGCACAGATACTGGACCTTTAGAGGGTGAGAAGAGACCACCTGATCCTTTTGGGAAGAGGGAGGTGGAGAGCGGAGGGACGAAGTGGGAGACAGCCCTCTGCTCCATGTAAACGCTGCCCAGGTTCTCCATTTGTCATTTTCTCTGGCTGAGAACAGGGCAGATGATGCCAAATGTGCCAGTGGGTGGAGTTAGAAGTAGTGGTTTCAGGGCTATCAATGTGATCTGTTTGGCACACAAGAAATATTTATTAGGCATCCGCTGTAATACTAAGGTTAATTCTACTTACGTTTGGTTGATACTTTATAAATCAGGTTCCCCTGAAAATCACTGGCTCCTTTCACAGATGAGGACACTGAGGCATATGACTTGTTGGGGTCCTTCAAGGTCCAACGGCACAACTTAGAACCCAGGGTCCTGATTCCCCACCCGGCACGTCCCACTGCGCCATCCTGCTGTGACCTTGTTGGAGACCCTGCCTGCCCGAGCATCCCGCAGTCGAGCGGAGAGTTATTCCCGCTCCTGTGATGGATGTGGTGCAGTCATGTTGATTTCATCACAGCCTCTGTCGTGCCTGAGCAGGTGACTCTAGAGCTCCCTGTTCTCTGGCTTCCTGTTGGACTAGTAATGAGAATGAGCAATGCAAGATAAGAGCACCCTTTCCGGGGGTACCATATATACTCCAGGAGATCACAGCTGCCAAACAGATGCTCTGCTGACTCACAGCTGCCAGTGAATAGCCAGCTCTGCGTGATGTAATTGCTGGGAGACTCGGCAGGATGGGAGAGTGAAGAAGGGGCCGGCTCCCGTCTCTCTCGGCAGAATTCTCTGGTCTGCTGCAACCTGCAGCCGAGGATGGGATGCTGAGTCTCCGGGACCAGCACGTGGACATGTGAGGGCAGGCCAACTGTCTTATCATTTTCATTTGCTGAAATTTGGAAAGATTTCTGGTCTTGTGCTAGCCTTCCATTGGTTAAATGAGATAATGTATGTAGAACCCTTGGCACATGGTAAGTGGGCAATACATGGTAACTTCTGTAATAGTAATAATTGCAGTAATAATGAATTACTGAAATAATAGGGCAATAGCATTAGAGCAATGACTCTTTAATAATGATGGTAATTATACACGTAATAACAGTATAGCAATCAGTGGCCTGGGGTGGGGGTTTTGTCTGAGTGCTTCTCCCAGTGACACATGATAATAAAAAGCAGACTTGCCCTGGTGAAGTGGTTCAGTCGGTTGGAGCATCACCCCATACACCAAAAGGTTGCAGGTTTGATTCCCAGTCAGGGCACATACCTAGGTCTTGGGTTTGATCCCTGGTTGGGCATGTATAGGAGGCAACCAATCGATGTTTCTCTCTATCCCACCCCCCCCTCAAATCAATAAAAACATCTTTGGATGAGGATTAAAAAAAAAGGCAGACTCCATCAGAACTCTCTTTACTTTCCACCTAGTTTTGCTATAAACCTAAAACTACTCTGAAAAATAAGGTCAATTAAAAAAATGTTTAAAGAGGAGGACAAAGAGAGTAGATTGATGATAAGTTGGCGTTATTATTTTTCAGTTCTCAAAAGAATACACTCCTTTGTTGCTTCCACCCATTTCTTCCACCCCACCCTTGGTACACCACCAACAATAATGGTTATTTTTAAATTGGCTGTGCAGATATTCAAATAAGTAGCATGTTAAAGAGACAGTCAAGTTGTTAGTCAAGTTGTTAGTCCCATGATGCTCAGTTGGTCAGTGTTTCTCTATACGGAACTGGTATAACTGGCCTCCAAGTACGGCTGGGACTGAAAGCCAAAGGTGTTGGGTGTGTGGCTCCCTCCATTGAGTGAGGCAGGCACATCAGCTCCCCTCACCGTGCGGCTGAGCAGCATGGCAACGAGAGGGCCCTGCAGAGGGCACCTACCCCACCCTAGCACCTAGGGAGATGTCCCTAATCCACAAAGCAGGGCAAGTCTTGTGCCCAGTGGGTTGGCTTCCTTTCCTTTGCTTAATAAAAGGTCTCTTTCCCTCGAGTAGGAAAATGCCCAGCTAATCAGAGAAGTGGAAGTAGACAGGGTCTCTGCGCTCTCCGAGGACCAGGTGCAGGCCATCAAGCAGCTCTGGCTGGACCCAGGAATCCAGGAGTGTTACGACAGGAGGAGGGAGTACCAGCTCTCAGACTCTGCCAAATAGTGAGTACAGAGCCTCAGCAGGCTGCCCCGCGCTCTCAGGCAAGCATGCTGCATGTACCTCACAGAAGCTTCCCACCTAAAACCGGCAGTCTCCCCGTGGATCCCAGATTTCTCTCCTTGCCCATACCCACCTGTCCCAGCCATGTCCCGAGCCTCTGTCCTTTTCAATGAGGCGAAAGCAAATGTGGTGTTCCCTTGGTGGAACTGATCTCATTTGGGGTGCTGAAATGATCTTAGAGGAGGACTGCATCTGCTTCTGGCTTCTACTTTCCTCCTCTCCACACCTCTTTGCCTTCGGATTTCCTGATCAGTAGACCCAAGGTCCAATTATCCTAAAATCTAAAAATCAGAGTTTAGATCTCAATGCTATAGGCCGGCAATAGCTGGTCATGTGCTGCCCTCTAGTGGGCAAGACCCAGGGAGGAAGTTCAATCTGGGAGCTCTTGGTTTATTAACAACTTGCAAAGGCCTACACACTATTTTTTTTTTTTATCCATAAAGCTCAAGTTTTAAATGTTATCTTTAGAGTAAAAAAATTAGATGGGCCTGCATGCAAAGGGTCCCAGGGAGATGACCAGAATTTCATTTTCTTAAGAATTTCCTGAGGCAGTGCCTCAGCCAGACAAATCACTGGACAATCTGAATCTCAGTCCTTCTTCAAGAGACAATTCCTGCAGCTCAGCTCTTTGCCCCTCGGACCATATCACCTTCCATCTTCTGAGGGCTCCGAAGTCCTTTCCCGAGACGTCCCCTTCCCTTCAGGTGCTGTCATTGCCCTCGGAGCTGGTGTGGGCGGTGGGGATCCACTCCCATCACCTGGACCAGGCAGTGAGCAGGAGAGGAAGCTGAAATCTTACCTTTGGGGTTGGTCCCAGGCTGAATGTTTAATCCATTAATCCAGGTTTGCACAGTTGATCTGAGCTCAGGAACATTTAGGTGCAAAGCAGGAAAGGAAATACAAGGAGTCCCGCTAAGGTGTTGGGACTTCAGAAAAGAGGCAGAAGGAAGGGAGGCAGTTTCCCAAAGAGGACGGCAGACTGCGGGTGACAGCTGGGACAGCCTGGTCGGCCATGGCATCCCGGTATCTTCCTGGACAGAGCCTAGCATCACTTGCTGAGGCTCTTGATGTGGATCCATTTGGAAAAGACCCATTGGAGGCACCATAAAATTCAACAGAGCCCTGAAATCTGGGGCAGCAAGTATGAGAAGAACATTGAAAGTGACTAGATTGGTGGACAGAGTTGCAGCAGACAGTTGCCCCGTCTTTGGAACTGGGGAGACTAGAGACAACTGCATTTTCTTAGGCCAGGTCAGTGGTTGTCATCTGCTCTGCTGGTCACGTCTGATTATTTGGACAGGTATTCACTGCACAAAATGTGAGGTGTGCCTGCCACGGACCAGGCACTTTGGTGAGGGTGGCAGGTACAACCAGTGCTCTCTGATGTCAAGGAACATTACTTACACCTGTCTTGTTTCTGGTGGAACTAGACAGGTATAAGTAAAAAAACTACACATATGGAAGTCAGTGACAATTAGCCTTGGGGTCACTTATTGGGACACAGGGTAGTTTGCAGTAGGCTGCTGGGCTCGGAATCAACTCTGTCATTGACCAGGGCCTGAGTTAGTTGTTTTACTAAAAAAAAAATTTTTTAAGCCTTAAAAAAGGCATTTTTAAGTGCCCTCTTATTTTACCTCAGAAAAATGATATACTGTAAGCTCAGAGATTTCATATATGGCAAAAATAATCCAAGACAAATTTTGGTTTATTTTAGATGTTTAATTTCCCCATGTAACAGGAAAACCTTTCTCATTGTTATTTCGAACTTCCTGTTGGCCTGTTTTATGCTTGTGTTTTCTTAAAAACTCCAGTTCACTCAGCAAAGTGCCGGAGAGCAGCATCCTCAGCCAATGTTCTAGGATGAGTGTGGGAGGGGAAGGGCCTTTGGAAGGCAGGGGGTTAGACTCTACTGTTCCTCTTCCTCTGGCCATGATGGGCTAGAACCAGTCGGAAGTGATGCAGTGATCCACAGGTTTCCCGAAGGCTCATATGGGATCCTGATCCACATTCCTTCTGAAATAATTGCAGGAGGGCTGGCTCTCAGAGTCATTGATGGACCCCAGGAATCTGAGTGGGGGTGGCTCTGAGCTGGGGTGACTTCCTGGAGTGGGATGAACACTTCTCCATTCTGTAAAATGAGTCTCAGCAACTTGTTCTCTGATATTGCAGTTACCTGACTGATATTGACCGGATCGCCTTGCCGTCATATGTGCCGACGCAGCAAGATGTGCTTCGTGTTCGCGTGCCCACAACTGGCATCATCGAGTATCCGTTTGACCTGGAAAACATCATCTTTCGGTAAGAATGTCCCCCTGGTACAGTCCATTAAGAATTTGTCTGTGCAGGTTTGGAAGTCCCCCAAAGGGTTCTTATCTTTCAGGGCAATGGGCCCTCTCCATCACTGGGTTTTTAGAATTGTGGTCGGTGTCAAGGGCTAGAATAGGGAGGAACCCACCTTTCTCTTCACTCTGGATGCTGCCCCTTCTTCCCTGTAAAGATGTGTAAGTGCCCTCTGTCCCATTTGGGAAAGATGTCAGGGGTCAGGCAGGCCTTTGCACGTCTATAAAAGAGCATGCACTTCCGGAGGGCGAGGGGCCCTGTCTAAAGAGATGGCTGCCGCACAGGGACGCCAGCCGCTGGGGGACAAAATGCAGGCTCACTGTGACCAGATCCTCTAATTAGATAACAAATGTTCTAAGTGAAACAGCCGGTATTTTAAATGTTAACTCAAAAGCTCTTCAAAACACTATGTTAGCCAAAGAAAAACATCTACATAGCAGAGGCCTGCCTGACCCCTGGATGTAGCATTCAAGCTTGGGATCGATCCTATGGCTACGAGGCCCTGCAATCTTTCCCATGTGCGACAGAGGGCACTTACACATCTTTACAGGGAAGAAGGGGCAGCATCCACCTAATGGAGAAAGGATTTGTGGATAAATCAGAGGCATGGAAACAGGAAGGAGCAAAGGCCTGGAGGAAGCTGAGTGGACCTGGAAGACTGGCTGCCGTTCTGCCCCTTTGGTGGCTGGTGCCTGGCCCTCCAGTGGGTAGAGCAATGCCCAGGGGAGGCCTGTGCTTTCCGCCTGGACAATTGCAGCTTCTGAACCTGAGTGACCTTTGCACCTGCTTTCAGTAACGTCACTTACACTCCGTCCTCCTCTGCGGGGAAACGCCTGGTGGTTCCTCATTGTCAAAAGCAGTGGTGCTCAAACCTTTCAGTCTCAGGACCCCTTTTCACTCCTGAAGATCGCAGAGGAAGCCAAGACGTACTGATTTCCCTGGTGGAATGAGCACACCCTCCTCCAGAGCCACGAACCCAGCCTTTGAGACCTGTGTTTCTGTTGGACAGGATGGTGGATGTGGGTGGCCAGCGATCTGAAAGGCGGAAGTGGATCCACTGCTTTGAGAGCGTCACCTCCATCATATTCTTGGTTGCGCTGAGTGAATACGACCAGGTCCTGGCTGAGTGTGACAATGAGGTATGCCAGGGGGGGAGTGTGGGGAGCTGTGGAAGACAGAGACCTACTTTTGTAGTTTGCAAAAAGCCAGCTGGCTCTGCCATTAGACTCTATGCCTGATGTTAAATTGTCTTGCTACTCAAAGTATAGAAGCACGGGCGTCACCTGGATGCTTGTTAGAAATGTAGACTGAATACATCAGAATTTGCATTTTAGCAAGGTTCCAGGTGATGCCCATAAACACGTGAGGATCACTGACCTGGAAACCTGCTTCTCACACTTGGGTGCCACTGGAACTCCATGGGTACCTGACAGAGAAGCCTGGTGGATGGAGTGTGCGGCCTGAGCGTGGCATCTAATCAAATGTGCTCCAGCGGTGGAGCCTCTCAGCCCTGGCTGCACACTGAAAGCCCTCGGGGAGTTTTGAAAAAGTACCATCCTTTGGACCCCACAGCAGAGGTTCCTACTGCTGGGTTGGAGTTGAGGTATCTTTTCCAAGTCCCCTAGGCATGCTCATGTGCAGTCAGAGTTGACCAATGCTACTTCTAGCAAACTTTACCTGAGAATAGGCATCCTCACCTGCAGGGCCTCCCCTAGTCCCCAGCTGGGCTGGCTGTTTGGGGGCCTCCTGGAAGGCACGAGCTTGGGCAGCTGGGACTGACCCACCCGCCAGATGTTCAGTGCCCTCCACGGGGTCCGCTACGCTGCCTGGCCAGTGACACTGACCACCACAGGCACTTCTCTGTGAGGATGGGGCAGTTTCTGCAGGATACCCTCATCCTCCCGTCGTCTTCCCCCCTACCTCTTGACCCTGTTGAAAAATGCCTCTTGCTTCTAGGGCATGAAAGTAAATCAGTTAAGAGCTCTATCCAGGATTAGGTAATAACCATGAACAAATAATATCTTGTTTCTTGAGAGCAGAATTTTCTCTAAGGAGCACAGTTACATTAGCTAATTAGTGGACGATCAACCCATTTACTAGTGTCATTGTGCAAACAAGAATAGAAGCTTTGGCTGCCACTGAGCTCTTCAGTGGAAAAATTTTTTTAAAAGGAAAGCCCTCGAGTTACCAATATGAAACATTAGCTCCAAATTTGTCTCAGGAAACGCAAAAGATTAGTCAGGTGGACAAGAACTTCAGCCTGACGTGCTAAAAAAACTGAACATTTTCTCCTCTCTTAAAAAACACAGGTATTTGGAGAAAAACAAAGTGGTTGCCACTCTAGACTCTTCCCTCTGGTTGTAGATATGAGTTGCATCCTCTCATTGTGCTGTATAGGCATCACTGTTTTCATATGTTGTAGTTTCTTAGGGGTTATTATTGATAAGATCATAATAAATTTTAAAGAAGCTTTAAAAGGAAGAGGGATTTCCTGTCTGGCAATAAATTCCATATCTTAATCCCTCAAAATATATTGAACAGGACTATGAACCCATGTTTCTGAGAGTCGTGGGAAAACAGAAACTTATGGCACATCCCTCCCAAGTATTTCTATTGAGCACAAATCTAGATAAGATTTGTACATGCCCTGTCTGCTCTCCATAAATCAGGAAGTTACTATTTTACTGTCCTGCATAATTTCCACCAGGTCCTACTACTATCCAGGCTTGGGAAAGTATTTAAATGTTGTAAATAAGTATCCTCACCCATACATTAGAGATCCCGATCCCCTTGCCAGCACACCGGTATCAACTGCATGGGAGGTGTGCACAGGTGCGCTGGGCCCCTTCTCTCCGGCGTTTCTAAAGGTGGTGGCCCTGCTGAAGAGCCAGTCTTCCTCTCTTTGTCCCCCGACTTCTGACACAAAGTCTGGAGGCCACACCCAACAGAATGGGTGTCCCAGGGCTGACGCTGTGAACAGTCCTAATAATGACACATAAAACTTCTGTCAAATCCGGGCAAGAACCTTCCTTTTCCACGTTGCACAAAAGCCTTTCTGATACCTTACATGTTAATTTGTGCTAGAGTTGAGGCGTGATTAGAGAGGGTGGGGATGGGGGTGTTCACCAGCTTTGGCAAGGACAGTGACCCCCAGACTCCAGCTGGGTGAGGGGGCAGAGGGATAGAACCAGTGATGTGACTTGTGTCCCAAGTACCGCTTTTCTTTCTAGTTAACCCTAAGTGCCTCTTTCTCTCCCTTAGAACCGCATGGAAGAGAGCAAAGCCCTATTTAAAACCATTATCACCTACCCCTGGTTTCTGAACTCATCCGTGATTTTGTTCTTAAACAAGAAGGATCTTCTGGAAGAGAAAATCATGTACTCTCATCTAATTAGCTATTTCCCAGAATACACAGGTAGGTCTCCACCTTGCTGACATTAGTCCAGAGTTCTAATGGCTCCCAGGGACTAGATGGTCTGCCTCTAATGGACTTCCTCACCATTCCCACCTCCACACATGCTAGCCCTTTGCTATCCAGTTTGTTCCCCAAGACCCAGCTCAGGCAAGTCCTCCAACCCTCACCCCATCCCCAGCAGGTGCACCTCCCTCTCTCCCCAGTCGGCTCCTGATGGCAGAGACTGTGCCTGACTTACCATTGATTGCACTCCCAGTTGGTCAGAGCACCTGGCACTTCTTATGAGTAGGTTAAAGTGTGGCAGCTCCTTTGCAGACACAGGGTGGACACTAGGTTCCTCGTCTACATGATCCATCCAAGGCAGGGGGGTTCGTGACCCACTGCTAATGATTTTTGGTACCGTAGGTCTCAAATATTACCAAGTCTGACATTGATAGTTAGAGGAGCAGTGTTTTAGAACTCTCCTTTTTCCTTGTACTGTGCTGGCCATGGAGTATAGCACCCACGAGCTTTAAAATCAGACATGGATGCCTAACAATGTTAGTTCCCATATTCTCCCTCTTCCCTCTCCTAGCTCACTGCTGCCTGCTGAGTTAGTAAGAGTGATCTCTCTTCAAAAGGGGTCCAAGTCAGAAAGCTAATTTGGGACACTGTGCTTCAACACATTGCCTCAAATACAAGTTTTAGGTACCAGGGAAACTATTTCCTAGAACTAAGATAGCTTAAGGAAAGATCCCAAATAAGAACAAGAGGACACTGAAATTAATTTGGGGGAGTACCTGGTGGTGAGTGGCATCTTTCTTCTTTATCCCTCTAACTGTGCTCGGAACCAGGACCGAAGCAAGACGTCAAAGCCGCCAGAGACTTTATCCTGAAGCTCTATCAGGACCAGAACCCGGACAAGGAGAAGGTCATCTACTCCCACTTCACGTGCGCCACGGACACGGAGAACATCCGCTTTGTCTTCGCTGCCGTCAAGGACACCATCCTCCAGCTGAACCTGAGGGAGTTCAACCTCGTCTAAACGCTGCTGCCCACACCTCGCCAACCAGAGACGGGATTCACTAGCCCCTCGCTTTCCTTCTGAGAGCTTGACATGCGCCATCCCAGCTCCCTGGGCAGTACCGCACCAAGTCCGCCCTGCAGGCCACAGGGACGGAGATGGGCCACGGAGCTTGTAAGACATTTGAATTTAGCAAAACTTTTTCAAAGTCTTGATTTCAAAATTGTTTTTATATTTCCTTTCTTGACTTTCGGCTTAAGATTTTGTGTAGTGATTGAGTTTGAGGTTTTATAGAATTTTTTAAAAAGCCATCATAATTTACTGTTTTTTTAAAGAAATAAATTTAAGTGTGTTTGTTAATTTAGAGATCATGCTTTGAGACCACTAGAATTAATTTGTGTAACTTTGTTTTAAAAAATAAGTTTTAAGCTTTCTTATTATAGCTTGTAATTTTGAGAGCATTTTAAATTGTTTTTCTCTCTTTATGCTGAAAAGTGTGATGCTTTTAACATGCCACCAAAGATTTTTTTAAAACGGTTATTTTTTTGTGCTAACTTTTTAAGTCAAATTAATGACTATGTTGATATCTAATTTGGTTTTCCACATTTGGATCACCATGAAGCCAAAGCTGACATAAGGTAAATGGGCTCCACATAGCACCTATGTTATCCTGGTGAAAAGTGTATGTGACCAGGCCTTATAAACTTATGAAATGGCTAAAAGCCACAACTGTTTAACAAATGTAATGTAACCCTGCCAGAGGTCTGATGGCCATCACAGATGTGCTGTCTGCACCACGTGGGCCGTGCCTTTCTGAGGAGGCTAAGAATACACCATTCTGCCATTAGCGTTGTACATTGTGTTTCTTTGAGCTCATGGTTCTGCTCCAAAAGAAAAATGCTGTCACCTAACAGTTAACTACTCAGAAACTTACTACATGTCCTTGTGGGCGAGGAAACGCAATTTTGCCCCTACCTTCTTGGTTTGGGGCTGGGACCTGTTCCTATAATAGGAGAGAGATTAGCAGGAGAAAAGATTAATACATGCCTGCCTCCTGTAACCATGGGAGACACCCAGGGAAACTGAGTCACTCCCTGAAAGTGGCCCAGGCCGTCACCTTAATGTTGGGGGGTGGGAAAGACCTGTTACCATGAAAAGCACAGTAAACGGGGTAGGGTTGATTTGCAGATTTAAGTTGGAGCCTTCTATGAGTTTCATCTACTGTAGAGTCGTTCTCTTCCAGGTATGGAGAGGGAAACACCCTTACACATGGAGATTTCTCTTACAAATGTCAATTTCCTCTACGAAAGGGTCCCTACGTCTCCTATTTCTTAAAAATAATCAGCTCAAAAAAAAAAAAAACCCTTATGCCAAAGCGGCATAGTCTGGGTGGTGCACTCTGCTCCCCTGCAGTCTTACCTCTGAACCTTCACAGGAAACCCACAGTCCAGAGGCTGAGCTGATGGACAGCTGGGTTGTGTCCTTGGATGGGTCTCTTAATCTTGAGAAGAGGTCAGTTCAGTTAAATGGCTGTGTCTCATTTCAGGAGGCAGTGTTGCAGGTGGGCTCCCGAAGTGAGGCCTATAGGGTGGGGAGCACTCAAGATATTTAATAAAACGTGTTTCTGTGGAAACCAAGGGTAATAGTTGGAGCAATTATAAACTCATTCTGAGCCAGTCAGAAGGTCTCTAGATGAAGCATCTTTTGCAGTTTGAATGTCTCTGATGCCACCAGGTGTTCTGTCAACTTTCTGAGTGGCCCACACAACAGGCACAGGGAGTGTCCAAACAGGAGTCATTGGCATATCAGATTTCTAGGAATTTCATAAAATTTGTTCTTAGTGATTCTAAGTCAATAGAGTGGGGGGGAAAATTGGAAATGCTAATTTGTAGAGTTGTAGCCAGATTACCTGAGGAAACTAGAACTCAGGATCCAGCCCAGTTTACAGGTAGAAAACGAAACCTCAGACAGTTAGCAGGACTAGAATCAGACATCCCAAGATGCGTTATAGTTTCTACTGAAGCATCATTTTTCTCTCCATAATCATTATCCCCATGTTTACCAAAGATAATTACAGTATACTAATTTGTTTGCAAAATAAATCTAGTCTCAATAAACTTGGTTTGATGGTTTACATAGGTGCAGCAAGAATAGTGATTGACCAGATATAGGCATTTAAAAATCTGCTTTGGATACATGCAAAAAGATGAAACTAGACCACCAACTCACACCATATACAAAAATAAACTCAAAATGGATAAAGGACTTAAACGTAAGACGGGAAACCATAAAAATACTAGAGGAATCCACAGGCAACGAAATCGCAAACATATGCCAAAGGAATTTCTTCTCTGATACTGCTCCTAGGGCAATGGAAACTAAAGAGAAACAAATGGGACTACATCAAAATAAAAAGCTTTTGCATAGCAAAGGAAACCATCAACAAAACAACAAGAAAGCCCACTGCATGGGAGAACATATTTGCCAATGATATCACTGATAAGGGTTTAATCTCCAACATTTACAGGGAACTCATGCAACTTAACAAAAGGAAGATAAACAATCCAATCAAAAAATGGACAATGGACCTAAATAGACACTTTTTGAAAGAGGACATATAGAAGGCCAAAAGACATGAAAACATGCTCAAAGTCACTAATTATATGAGAGATGCAAATCAAAACGACAATGTGGTATCATCTCACACCTGTCAGAATGGCTATCATCAACAAATCAACAAACAACAACTGTTGGAGAGGATGCGGAGAAAAAGGAACCCTTCTGCACTGCTGGTGGGAATGCAGACTGGTGCAGCCACTGTGAAGAACAGTACGGAGTTTCCTCAAAACACTAAAAATGGAACTCCCATTTAACGCAGTGATTCCACTTCTAGGAATATATCCCAAGAAGCCAGAAACACCAATCAGAAAGGATATATGCACCCCTATGTTCGTAGCAGCACAATTCACCACAGCTAAGATTTGGAAACAGCCTAAGTGCCCATCAGCAGATGAGTGGATTAAAAAACTGTGGTACATCTACACAATGGAATACTACGCTGAGGTAATAAAGAAGGAATTATTGCCATTTGCAACAGCATGGATGGAACTGGAGAGCATTATGCTAAGTGAAATAAGCCAGTCAGAGAAAGATAAATACCACATGATCTCACTCATTTGTGGAATATAGAGAACAACATAGACTGATGAATAGGGACAGATCCAAAGACAGAGAAATAGCGATCAGACTATCAATCCCCAGAGGGAAACTGGGGGAGGAAGGGGGTAAGGGGGAGAGATCAACCAAAGGACGTGTATGCATGCATATAAGCCAAACCAATGGACACGGACAACAGGGGGATGAGAGCATGAGTGGACG